CCCCCCGGCCTGTCCGCCTCCTGCCCCGCCCTTCAGGCGTCCTTAGGCAGCGGGGCCGCTGGACCCGGAGGCGGTGTCACTGGTGACTCAGGCGACTTTAGAGCGCGCCTGGGATCCCGCCCCAAGCTGGATTGTCCTTTAGGTTCCGCAGGAACAAAACAAAACAAAACAAAACAAACACAAAACTGCATAAAGGTGAGCAGTGAGCTCAGCAGCAAAGTACAGAAGTTCGAGAGCCAGAGCTCTGGCTGCAAATGCCAGCTGTGCGGCTAGTTAGCTATGTGCCCCTACATACCATATGTCAGTTTCTCTGTTAAAGGGGTTGCGGTGCAGAGTACCTGCATTAATAGCTCTAAAATTTCTCGAACAGGGATTTTTAGCACCCACCCGTTTCTGCACACAGACGCTTTTGGCTATGGACCCTTTCTCAGAATAGTGCTTTTGGAAGCATTAAAAAATGCTGGAGATTACAAGGAAGAGGATTATAACCAAAATATACTTAAAGACACAAATTTATGATTGGGGCGCCCGGCTGGCTCAGTCGGTAAAACATGCAACTCTTGATCTCCAGGTTGTGAGTCTGAGCCCCTTGTTGGGTGTAGAAATTACTTGAAAAAATAAAATCTTAACCCCCCCCCCCAACATTTATGATATAGTAATGGGTTTATTAGCATGAAATAACAAGACTGGAAGTTCAAGTTAAATTTTCCTTTTCTTTCATGCTTATTTTTATTTTTGAGAGAGAGAGGGAGGGAGGGGCAGAGAGAGAGGGGGGACAAAGGATCCAAAACAAGCTCTCTGCTGACAGCAGCAAGCCTGCTGTGGGGCTCTAACTCACGAACCATGAATTCATGTCCTGAGTCGAAGTTGGACACTCAACTGATTGAGCCACCCAGGTGCCCCTAAATTTTCCTTTTCTAATGATATCAGCTAAACTGTGGGGTGGTCTTTGACTCACCTTTTCACATGTATTTATCAGTTAACCACTAAATATAAGGAATCAGAAGAATAATGGAGAAGCCTGGGTTACTGGTGTGAGAACAAGTGGATTTACCATTTGGTCACTGACCTTCTACTGGGCTCAGAGGTGCCCAATCAATGGCAGCTATGTCGCAGGAGTGTCTGAAGGAGTGTGATTTAATGGTGGGCTAATAACTATCACAATTCTGAAACAGTTATGAGCATACATAATGTTGAGACACTTGCAATAACTACAATTTGAATGAAAAAATCTGTGATTTAGAGGCGCCTGGGTGGCTCAGTCAGCTGAGCGTCTGACTTTGGCTCA